GTCGCTGGTCGTGGACTTGAATATGAAGAAGGGAGTTAGCCATCCCTGCACAAACTGGTCGGGAGCTGGAGCCGTTCCCTTGATGAGACCAAGGCAGGTCGAAACCAGTCAGCATGTATCCTTGGGAGGGCAGGTCGTGGTGGCTGACTAGGGCACTTGCGCGAGCTGAAGCAACGCCTTGATGCCGCACGGGTCGTGCCGCTGCGCCAAATCTCTAGGCCCGTGACAATAAGGTAAGATTAGGAGAGGCAGAAATAGTGCCCTTCCCCGCAATGGAGGTGAAGATGCCATCAACCACTTTAACCTTATCCTTACCAGAACATAAATTGTACGAAGATAAATCAGATGCCATACCAGTCATGTGATCAGTGGCTCCTGAATCAATAATCCAAGGTGGCCCACCAGATAATGTGGAAACCTGATGTGCCGAATGAGTGGTACGTGTCTGAGCAAAGTTAGAGGTGGAAATGGAGGCATTTTGAGCTAGTAGATGTCGAAGAGCATCAAGTTCAGCCCCGGACAAAGAACTCGGTAGCCCTGGGGAGGCATGACCAGTAGAAGAAGTCTCACGTTCTGCAGTATATGTCGTAGATAACCCCCTAAATGGACCAGGCCTTGGCCTAGCATTCACATGTGCAAAAGCTGGAGTTGGGCAACCGTGTTGATTCCAGCATGTTTCCCTAGTGTGGCGCGTATGCCTACAGTGATCACACCGCAACTTGCTCTTGTCATTCTGCTTCCCTCCTTTTGGAGGATTAGGCTTGTTCCATTGTTGTGTGGCAAGAGTAGACGTATCAGAAAATGATACTTCTAACTCGGGCTTAATGTATGCAGGTGTAGACATAACCTTCATTCTACTCTCCTCAGCCTGGATATAAGAAACCACATCTCTAACAAAAGTAGGGCTAAATACCTACCTAACACTTGTACCCTGGCATGCTTGTATCTCGGATTCAGACCACCCAAGAACCCATAGATTCGATTCCTCTCTACCATAGCACGAAATGCTTTAACATCAGTTGCACACACAGGTATTTAGTCTTGGTAGTGATCCAACTCTTCCCATTTACCACGTAGAGTGACAATATATAGCAAGAGTTTGGTCTTCCTGCTTAAATCTTGATATCTGTTGTTGGAGTTCATACAGTTTTGCAAAATTACCAACCAATGAATACGTCTCTTCTACAGCCTGCAATAGCTCTTTAGCTGTTTTCACAAACAGAAACCCTTTGGTGATCATTGCATTGACTGCAACAACCACGTCATAACTAGTGCATTATTTGCACTCCACTCTCTGAATTCAAGATCACTCTTGGAGGGATACGTGACAGTCCCTTCAATATGGTCGATCATCCTATGACCAATGATATGCATACGAGCAAATTGAGCCCATTCCATATAGTTCGTCTCATCCAGCCTAATAGTCGTAATACAAAGGCCTGGATGGTGATCACCACTACCACCCAATACTGAAGTCAAACTTGGGGAAGACCCAGCTTCTTTTGAAGTCACGTTTGAGCTAGACATTTTATCAAACAGCTTCTGGATATTAATCCTCAGAAACAAAAACAGTAACAAATTACATAGAAAACCACCTCTCTAACACACAAACTTCAACTAAAAAGATTACCGTCTTCTGAGATGCATAAAAAAGCTACCACGTAGTCAAACCACACAAACCCTAGAAAGCAACAAAGTAGACCATACCAGAATCGCGAACAAGGAAGAAAAAGCCGTTGTTACAAAACCTCGCGAACACGAAAAAACACCAATCGAGACTACAATAGATCAAAAACAGGTCCAAAAAATCCGTGGTGCGTGTGGATATGATTAACACTACTTCCTTGCAAACAAATCCCATCTTGGAATCTCTTCAAAACCCTTCACACCCTCTAGGGTTTACACAAACTTGCCCTAGGGTTTTAACTACACACCTATATCTTTACAAACCATGCTCTGAAACTATGTTGACTGATATGACAAACGCAACGAACCCAAGTTGAACCAAGAATCACGACAGAAAAGTAAACACGCCTCACAAAGAACACAAAAATTTATACAGCAACAGCCTACGTCCACGGTTGGGATCCGGCGAAAGTTTTCACCATGTGTAAAGTTAGAGATTACAAGTTTTCAGTCCCTCACTCTGATTCTATATGAATATCAGAGTCTTTCTTATTCACCATTCCAAACCCTAAGCACCCTTATATATCAGGCTACAAGAGACTAATTAGGGTCCACGACCCATGAGCAAAAAAGGGGTTAAATTTTTTCTAATGGCTTGTCGGTCATAAGCGGGACGCAACTCAACCCGACAGCAAATTCGGGCCACAATATCACATTGACTTTAAGAGATAATCAAATCAAAGAATAAAGTATAAGAAGAAGAAAAAGAGAAGAAAGAGGACGAGAGAAAAAGAGAGAGATGGAGAAAGAGAGAAAGAATGAAAGAATACTTTCATCCTTTCACCACATTATATTTATAAAAATAAATTTCAAAAATTACACATAAGCCCCACCATTATATAAGTAATAACAAATAAGCCCTGACAACAGTTACCCCACACCCTCCTAAAAAAATAAAAATAATAAATAGAAGATAAAATTTAATATAAATATATTCTGTACGAAAAATCACCTTGGTTTTTCCTTTACCATTGTCTCTCATCTTGAAAGTTGAATCATCATGTAGATTTGTTAAACAAATATAGCGGTTATGTTATATGGGGTGGAATGTTGGGTTCTAAAAAAGAAACATGAGTAACACATCCATGCGGCGAAAATCCGGATGTTAAGATGGATGTCAGGAATTACTGTTATATAGGGCGGAATGTTGGGTTCTAAAAAAGAAACATGAGCAACACATTCATGCGACGAAAATCAAGATGTTAAGATCGATGTCAGGAATAACTAGGAAAGATAAGATTAACAATCAAATAATTAAGAAGAGACTGGGTGTGGCACCTGTTAGCGAGAAAATAAGGGAGAGTAGACTGAGGTGGTATGGGCATATTCAACGCCGACCTATACACTCATGAAAAGAGGAAGATTGATTTGCATAGGGTAAAAGACAAAGAGGTTAACATGGAATGAAGTTACAAGAAATTATTTCAAAAAATTAAATCTAGTAGACATTATGACCTATGATAGAAAAGAGTGGAAAAAGAGAATCCATGTGGCTGACCCCGTTGCTACGGGGATAAAGGCAAGAATGATGATGATGAATCAAGTGAAAGCCATCAAAATGCAGTCTTTAACCAATTATCCTCCCATGAGTTCACTACAATTTTTTAGGATTGTTACAGTAATCCTGCAATGGCAATTTTCACCATTTGACCTACTTTTATCATCTCAGATATAATGGCAAAAAGATTAAAGACATGATGTATCAGGTTTGAGGTATATTTTTCTTAGCTGTTAATTAATCATGTTAGAACACTAACCACCAAAGCCTTAAACTGTTAGAGAATGGGCCCAAGAATGTATATCAAGGCCCTTACCCTCCCACATGCAAACCTATCTTGCACCTTTCAAGGCAAAAAAAACCAAATCTAGACCAAAATAAAGCGCAAATTTGCACGCAAAACCGGGAAATAAATGCAGAGATGGAGATTTGAACCCAACTTCCCTGAACCAAAACTATGATACTGTGTCAGTACAGCGACAGCCCAAAACCAAAAGCTTAAGTTGTTACATAATGGGCTCAATAATGTATTAAGTCCAACAAATCATTAGTCTTTTCTACTTAAAATAAGACGTAGTGGTCATTCCTTTTTAAGTGCAACTAACATGATAAAACCATACAATAACACTTGTTAATTATGCAATTTAGAGGATTTCTTTCTAACCTAGTCTTTTTTTGATAAGTTCTTTCTAACCTAGTCTTGTCCCCTAACTTAGAGTACAGATTAATCATTATATTATATTATGCGCATCTTATGCATTACAACATATATTAATGAACTAGGAAGCCCCATGTGATGTGTAGGTGGCAGAATTCAAACCAAAATAAGTGTTCTTCAGCTAGTTTGAAAATTCAATCTGAAACGGGAAACTAATTCACATTTGAAATTTGCGACTTTACCCATAAAGTTATGAATCTTGACACCATGAGTAGCCAAAAAGAGTAAATCCTTTATCTAATCGGCTTAAATTGTTTGCACGCAATTACATATGTCATTAAAATATATCAAGATATAGAAGTTAAATTTAGTTAATATAGCTTAATTAAATTTAATTATTTGGCCATTATTTGAACCGTTATATTTCCTAGTAAGTCGAATAAACACTCGTCATACGTAATAAATGTATTTTGACAAAAATGACTGTATTATTCTAAATTCTACTCAAGATCCTCAATTTAGCACTGAAGACATTACTAAGCATACGTAATGAACAGCCTATATGACAAGCTGTTTCCATCAGAGTACATACATATCACAGCCGCATTCTGAACTCTAATTGAGCTAATGCACAGCCAAAACATCAAACTGAAAACAACTACTTAGGGTTCATACTCAAATAATCTTTACGCCAAAACTATTGTCCACCTTTCTCCCATTATCTGTCCACTTTGGAAATCAAAAATACATAAATAATAATAATAATAATATTTTTAAATGAGTAGTTCCAGAAACCTTCTCAATAAATTAACAATGTGGATTTTTAAATTTTGGATGAGTAGTTTTGGATACTTGTACTTCCTACTAAAGTGTGTGTTCATTAAATGCCATTCCCATAAATAATTAGAATTTTTAAGATGGACAACCAATTTGGATCAGAGGAAGTACTGTTTCCCAACTCCCCTCTAAATGTGTTGAAACAAACATAATAAACATGTGTGTGTGTGTGTGTGTTGTGTGTGAAGCAACCAGCATATAAAAGAGTAGGCAGAAAGTTCAGGCTGTACCAATGATTAATGAAGCATGGAGAATAAGAACAAACATCTTTACATAATGTTCTTGCAATACATAGAGCATTAAAGAATTTTAGGACTTCACATGCGTGGAAGAAGCTCACGGATCGATCCAATTTTGCAGAACCAGTTATTGCAGGTTTCTTTTGCTTCAAAGCAGATGTCACGTGCTTCAAAGTTCTCTGCCATTTACCAAATAAGTCTCAGGAAAGTTTTGTAGTTGCAACAATGAAAAGTGAGATCAATATATTTTTGCAAGTTCATTACTACAAAAAGACCATGACCTCTTTGCTGGGCAGGATGGATTAGGTACAAGCCAAACCTTTGCAATTATTTTGCTAGTTTGCAATTGTAAAAAAAAATAAAATAAATAAAAAAATAAATAAAAAAAGAACTAGAAAAAAGGTGAAACTGAATTGCGTGGTAAGTTTGACAGTTTCCTAATGCGATCTACCATTTTTTAGTGTAATAGTCAGAGAGCAGCCAATTTGTGCAAAACAATACCGAAGGTTAGGTCTGTCTAGTTTTTACCCTCCCAACACCTGCATAGAAGGACCATCACCAAGTAATTGCAATTTGGCCTACATAACAATAATGCTCAGCCAATCCGGTGCTTCAGTTACTCCAAGATATAACAATACAGTCTTGACTTTTCACCTTGTTGACATTCATCAACAACTATGAATGATAAACATATTCACTGATTGGATAGTACATCAGATTATTGAAGGTCACAATGCAATATCTACCCATGTTCAACACCAGAAAGCGATTTAGTGTCCTTGTATCATAAGATGCCAAATAACTGGTGAGTTTGACATCAAAATTCAAGTTGGTGCCCTTGTATCATAACATATCAAGTCTACAAGTTTGGCTTTTGCCTTTTCGTTTTCGTTTTTGTGTATTAGGGACACATTCCCCATTTGAACGTTTTTCTAATATATTTTTACTTATCAAAAAAAAAAATCAGAGTTCAGTTTGAATGCAATAAGGCCTATACGATCCACAAATGAAGCAGAACTTTGTTAGAACACTAACTAGGAAGTAGTCAGCAATAATCTCTACTGAAACATTTAATCAATATACAAGCTTTTTCTCTGGTCCTAAAACGTGTATAATTGATCCTAATGTCCAAATGTCAGACTACATTACTGAAAATGCACAAGCAAAAGAGAGAGAGAGAGAGATATGATGCAAATCATTAATGGTGCTTTTGTCAGGATTGAAGCAGTCAATGATGCCTTGAAAAGTGTTTAGTCAAAATATATTAAATAGTAATTATGGTGTGGAAATCTGAATATGTCGCGGGAATGGAACTTGTTATTAATGCTGTGGATAGTCCAAAAGTCAGTCTAGAGAATTGAAGAATCATTAATAGTCTTGTGAAGAGATACAAACCTGGCAAAGAGCATATTAGAGTTCCATCTTCAGAAAATTCAGCTTTCCGCTTAATCCGTTCCCATACCATATTCCCAAGCAAATCCATTACATCAGTAGCTAGAACAAATAGCGTCGGATAAAACTGAAATGCAGATGTGTCCATCAGAAGCCTGGCAACCTGAAAAATGGATCAAATGTAAGGCAAATAACGGATCAAATGTAAGGCAGATGTGTCTACGAAGATGGACAACCCAACCCCATTTATCTAAATCTCTCCATAAGGGTTGGCAATTGGTTGACTCAGGTTTTTCATATGTGTGTGTGTGTGTGTGTGTAAGGCAAGATTTTATTAGAAAGGAAGGAAAGAAGAAAGGCAAGAGTCTATTAGAAAAGAAGGAAAGGAGGAGGACAAGATTTTACTAGAGGACAGAAGAATACAATTAGGAATGAGAAAAATGCTTCAAGCCCGGAAAAAAATAAAAAATCTCGGATCAGAAAAATAAAAATACAAGCAACTGACGGCCAAGACAAACAATCTCTAACCACCCCCACATCAGCCACAAGAGGGCCCGAGGAAAAAGAAAATGCGCCTCACTTTTCTCTAGCAATGAATACCAAGGAATCTATCTATTCTCAGTCTAAAGACATGAACAAATTGAGGATATGCCCCATAATGAGACTGGGACCAATATCCTGTAGATCGGCCCAATCAACCATGTTAGGTCAATAGGACTTAGGTTGGCAAATTTCATCCAAAACTTGGAATTTTTATTTTTATTTAAGCTTTTGATTAGTATTTTCAAAAGTTAGTTCAATTATGTTACCTGACCTCAGTCTAAGGGCAAAATCAAAATTTAAGGCTACACATCCCAAGAATCAAAGATGCACACCACTAGAGCGTAACAAGACAGGGCATGGATGGCTACAATCAAATGCGGATTTTCGCTTCGAAGGGAAGGCCTATTGGAATTTGGAAAGAGAAAGAGATCCAAGGCCAAAAAGGTAATTGCGACTTTCAATTCTGCACTCATCTACTATCGTTCATATCCATGAGCATTCATTCAATTAGGGTTTTCCAGAACTACATGTTTGCTGCATTGAAATCCTTTTCGGAATTATGAAAATTGTTTTTGGAATAGAACTTGTTAAAAACCTATTTCTGTAAGGACGGGACACTTCGATCCATCAATGCATCAATCGAAGTCCTCTTGTCATGTCTCCACCAACTGATCGAGACCTAGGTGTTGACTTTAAGATATAATCAAATTAAGAGTAACTGATAAAAAATAATAATAATAATAAATAAATAAAGAAGAAAAAGAGAAGAAAGCAGATGAGAGAAAAAGAGAGAGAGAGATGGGGAAAGAGAGAAAGAATGAAAGAATACTTTCATCCATTCACCACATTCTATTTATAATAACAAGTTTTAGAAATTACACATAAGCCCCAACATTATATAAGTAATAACAAATAAGCCCCTGACAACACTCCCCCTCAAGCTAGTGCAAAGATATCTATCATGCCCAGCTTGACTAACATATTTTGCAAGCAAGTCTTGCTCACACCCTTAGTCAAAACATCAGCAACCTGATCATATGTGTAGACATATGGAGTACAAATCTGCCCAAGACGAAGCTTTTCCTTGATGAAGTGTCGATCGACTTCAATGTGCTTTGTCCTGTCACGTTAAACTAGATTGTGGGCAATGCTAATAGCAGCCTTGTTGCCACAATACAACTTCATTGACTCGCGAACAGGATAACCCAATGTGGGCAATGCTAATAGCAGCCTTGTTGCCACAATACAAAGTAATGCCCGAGTTTCCTCTTTGCATTCACCAATGATAGGATCACTCGCTCAGCCTTTAAGTACCTTCTCTCCGGTTCGGCTTTGCTAACGTAGAACACTAGGAATTGCTTTCCCTCCTCACTTCGTACCAGAACGGCACTTGTCGCAATGCTCGATACCCCAAGATACATGAAAAGCTTCTCACCTGGTTTTGGGGCAGACAAGATTGGAGGGTTCTACATATACTCTTTCAACCTGGCCGGCGCCTGTCGTTGCTCATCCCCCCAAGCTTGCCTCCCATAGCCTCTTATTGTGTCGAAGAACAGTTTGCAACGATCTGACAATTTAGAAATGAATCGACTTAGTGCCGCTATCCGTCCAGTGAGCGCCTGAACCTCCTTAACAGTTCTTGGTTCTGCATTCTTTATCAAAGCCTCAGCTTGAGCGGGGCTGACTTCGATCCCTCTGTTGTTAACTACGTGTCCCATGAATTGTCCGGAGCCCACCCCAAACGAACATGTAGTTGGGTTAAGTTTCATGCCGTAGTTCCTCAACACCTCAAACACATCTTGTAAGTGCAGCAAATGCTGGTCCTTCTTTTTACTTTTGACTACCATATCATCAATATAGGCTTCTACAGTTTAACCCATTTGACTTTTAAAAATCTTGTTGACTAACCTTTGGTAAGTGGCTCCAGCATTCTTCAATCCGAACGGCATGACCTTGTAGCAATAGATTCCTCGTTCGATTACAAAGAATGTTTTTTCTTCATCGTTCGGATCCATAGGAATCTGATTGTAACCCAAGTAAGCATCCAGAAAAGTTAGCCGTTCATACCCAGTAGTGACATCTACCATTTGATCAATCTTGGGTAAAGGGAAACTATCCTTCGGACAAACTTTGTTCATATTAGTGAAGTCAATACATACTCTCCATTTCCCATTCTTCTTTTGTACTACCACCACGTTTGAGAGCCAAGATGGGTACTGAACCTCCCTGATGAACCCTGCCTCCAGCAATCTATTAATTTCTTCGGCTATAATTTGATTGCGCTCTGGAGCGAACCTCCTCTGCTTCTGTCTTACAGGCTTGACGTTCGGATCTACACTGAAAGAGTGACAGGACACAGAGGGATTGATTCTTGGCATGTCCGAATGGCTCCAAGCAAACAAGTCCGCATTCTTAGATAAGAAATCAACCAGCTGCCGTTTCTCCTCCTCTGCAAGTCTTGACCCTACTCTTGTGGTTCTGTCTGGTCTCAGAGGATCAATCTGCACATCCACAAAGGGCTCTTCAGTAAGGATCAAAGGCTCTTCCTCCTCCCCAACCTCTTTGGGTGGAGGCTCCTATAATTGCTATCTCGGGCTCCCAAATCGGACGGGCGCTTTTCCCTTCCCACCGGCTTTCAAGGTTACAGAATAGCACTCCTTAGCACTACCTGGTCTCCATGTATATCAATCACTTTGCTCCTATCTGGACTTAAGCACCTCATTACCTAGTGCAAAGTCAAGGGGACACCTTGGACCCTGTGAATCCACCCTCTTCCCATCAAGAGATTATAAGACGAGTGAATCTCAACGACCACAAAGCTTTCTATCAGTTCTCTCTCGGCAGTAAGTACTGGCAACTCGACCATACCGATAGGCTCCACCCGTTTCCCATCAAATCCTAACAGTGGATTTCCTGTGGGTTTGAGCTTTTCTTGTTCAATCCCGAGCCGTTTGAATGCTACTCTTGTCATGACGTGTGCACTGCTACCCGGATCAATCAAGATCCTTCGAACCAAGCATTCTGCTACCATCAGGCTAATGACCAGGGACTCTTCATGAGGGATCTAAATTCGAAATAAATCCGTTCTGTCAAACCTTATCTGAACTGAACTGCTTTGCTGGTGTAGAGCGTTTACACTGCCTATCCTTTTCTTCATTTGTGCTTGACGAAGACGAGTTCGGAGCAGCTCTTCTGACTCTTTGGTCGCCTCAGGCCGGCTATGAATTGCATTTATGATACGAACAGGTTGAGCGTTACGGTAATTTGGCTTTTGATTTCTCTTCACTTGCTCAACCGGTCGGTTTTGCTCTATTGCTGGTCCTTGAATGTAACTAGCAAACTCTCCCTTTGCTATCAGCATCTCCACTTGTCTTCTTAAATTCCTGCATTCATTAGTCAGATGTTTGAAAACACTATGAAAAGCACAATGTTTGGATTGATCTCTTTGTTTGAGCAGTTGTCTGATCGGTAAGGGAGGGCGAAACTTATCTTTGTTTTCTTGGAATAACCGTGCCAGGCAGACCTTGAGTGGAGTGATCAGCTCCTCTTCCCAAAGCCTTTTTTCTGATTTCCAAGAGGTCGAACGCTGTGGTGCAACTTGTTTTTGACCGATCTTTGTTCTGGTCTTTTCTCCCACTGCAACCATCGATGCCTTCCTTGCGTTGGTAGCTTCTTCTTTCCAAGCGCACAAAACCGTCAGCCCTCTCATTTAACTAATCCATAGTCTTCGGCGTATTCACCACTAGATTTGTGTGGAACGGTGTTCCTCGGTTCATAGCTAGTTTGAATGCTTAAACTGCTGTGGACGGATGGCACTCAATCACCATGCTCTTTTCTAGGTTAAATCTGGTGAGAAAAGCTTGGAGGCATTCGCCTTCCAGTTGTTTCATCGTAAACAAACTTGATATGTCTTTGGCTGGCCGTTTGTTCCCATAGTATTGGCTTATGAACTTGTCGCACAAATTCCTGAAGCTTTTCACCAATCCCCTTGCCAAATTCTTGAACCATTTAAGCGCCGGTCCAGTAAGGCTTGTAAGGAACACTTTGCATATCAGAGCATTGTTTTCTGTATTCAGAGCCATCTTTAGCTGAATGTGATAAACATGTTCGTTCAGATCACTTGTTCCATCAAACAGAGTGAAGACTGGCATAGAGAATTTTCTTGGATTTGGAGCATTCAAGATCTCATTTGTAAACGGTGAATCGGCAGTCTGAGCCACCATGCGAAGGGCTTCATTTTCCTTCGGGAGTATTTTCTGCTCCACAGATCTCTTAAGTCTTGCCTGAATTCCTGTGGTCATACATAGCCATTGATGGATGGTAGATTGGATCGAACGACCTTTCCTCAGTTAATTCCCTCTGTCATGATGGCGTAGCCTTATTGCGACTAAACTCCATGGCTTCTTCTCGCCTGATCCTTTCACGATGTGGATCCAGATGGACAGATCCTTCCCGATCTTCCAAATGATGGACATTTGGTGGAAAAACATCCAGCCTGAACTCTTCACGGCACAGATCCAGGGGAACTTTTCCTTCTTGTTCGTCTTGGGGAACAACATTTGGTGGCAGAATTCTTTCTCCTGCTGGAGGCCGTCGTGGAGGTGCCGGAGGCGTCTCGTC